CACAGGCCGCGAGCCAGCCCTCCCCGCCCGCTGCCGACGCCGCTCCCGCTGACCGCCAGGCTGACCGCCAGGCACGCCGGGCCTCGGCCGCCTACCTCTGACCCTCGCCACTGAGACTATTCTACAGGTAATGGCTGTGCGGTCTGCAGAGCTCCACTGGCGCGCCTGGGATGCGCATGTGGAATCAGAGCCATGATCCTAATTCTGACTGGAATGGCATCAGAGCCCGTGCCCTTTCCAACGCCTCTTACACATTTCAGATGTCACAACAGCACTGACTCCGAGACTGAGGAGCGGGCTGGATGAGAGGGGCGGAGCTGTACAGGGAGGCGCCCAAGGTAGTGCCTGTGGGTGCATTCAGAGGGGGCGGGCAGAGTCTGATCCACGGACCACAGTCAGGTGAGAAAACTGAAAGACTGGCTGAGCCCCGAAGGGTATTCACCCAGGACAGTGAGGATAGCAGGGAGAGATTAAGAGCAAAACCCCATGATAGAACCCTCGCCAGGTGGCTCGGTTGGTGAGTGTCGCCCTCATACACCAAGGACTTGGGTTTGATCCCGCCAGGGCACATACAAGAATCAGCCAGTGAATGCGTCAATAAGCGGAACAGCAAACCGATGTTTCTCTCCCCTTCCTCTCTCTCTAAAAAGAAAATCAATCAATTAAAATTTTTTTTAAAACCATGATAGAGATATCCACAAGGAAAAGTGAAGTATGGACTAGCAATCCAAATAGAAAAGACTGTATTTCTAGAATGGCCAAGAAAAGCTCAGAAAAGTACTCTGGTTTTAACTTAGACACAGCCCAAATTAACCAAGAAAGCACTGTGTGTTTGTCTCAGTTAATGTGTCTATTTTACAGTCTAGGGCTCTGACCCTTAGCTCTCAGCTTCAAGTTCACATGTGCAGGGAAGGATGGCCTGAGCCCTGCCCCTCACCCCCCTCTAAATTAGCTCCTGTTTAAATCTGTCATATTTCCCTTGACAGCACTCAGCACAGTCTGTAATGACAAATTCCATATGTGATTTACTTGTCCTGCCCGCTAGACTTCAAGCTCTGGGAGGCAGGAACCACACCTCTTGTGTGCATCACTAGAGCCCCAGAAGCAAGCCCAGTACCCGGCACAGATAGGTACTCTGTAAGTACTTGGCGAGCGAGTGGATGTGGCTCTGAAAGTGGCTATGGAAGCAGACGGTGTGGAGTGGAGGTGGCGGAGAGCCACAGGACGCGTTCAGCAGAGAAAACCACAGACAGAGGAAGGCAGCTATTTGAAGAAGCTGTCCCTGGCTGACAGCAGCAAAATGTTATCCAAGTAACCGTGAACGCTGGCCAGGTGGCCTCCTGTCTGTGTTTCGCGGCATCTCCCGCACGTCCAGATGGCCAGGCCAGAGCAGTCTGCTGGGTGCTGGCAGGGAAACTACACCCAGCTTCTCTGTTCTCACTGTCTGATAGTCCTCATGTCCTGCACCCCAGAGGTTACAGCTCTGTTTTCAGATAATTTGGAAGTGTTGGGTACTTAAGGTGAAAAAGTCCCTGTTAAAGACTCTAACACATTACATTTTAGGGGGGAAATCTACACAGCAAAAGAGTATCTTAAAATTAGAGATGGACCTCAAAAATGCATTTTACAGTTTCGGAAATGTCTGTAATAGGACAAGAGAGCCACTTCCCTGGGGAAGTTAATAAATGACTGGATGTTTATGAGGAAAGGATCTACTATTTCTATTTCGCACTTTCTGCAGCACATTCCTCACTAGGCCAAGGTAAGGCAAGCTCACTGGATTTCTATTGCTATCTGGCCTGACATCTGCAGAATCTCTGTGGGCCCCAGAGTCTTCTGGGAGGCTTCATCCAGAGTCTCTCCTCTGTGTTAGGCTTCTAGGACTTGAATGAGAGAAACCCTGCAAGTTGTGATTTAATCATGAATCCACCGATCACCTGGTCAAAGGCTCAGCTCTAACATCAGGACGAGGAGCTCTCAGAAAAGGTTTCTCAAAGAACTAGCCAGTTGCTCAATCTAAAGCAAAACAAACGAATCTGACACTTAGTACATGTTGTTTCCGGTCTAGCACGAAACGTGGTGTGGTTAGGAGGGACCTATGCACGTTTTCCGTGGGAAGGTACTGGCTGTGTCTGTGTTCCTTGGGACGGGAAAGGACAGGGAGGACCTGAGAGCCGGGGGCAGCAGAAACTGAACCGGAGATGATGTATCTAGTCACGTTTCTAATCGCTGAGAAGTCCTCACTGAAGGAGTTGAGGGAGGGTGAGTTCTTGAAAGAGAAGGCTGTCAGAGAGAAAAACTGAGAGCCTTTGGTACCCAGGAAGCCTGAAGCCCATGTGAACATGACAAGGGTAAGGCATAATTTAGTTTTTAAAAGTGCCTAATTACCTAATTAGTGTTTGTTTGCTCTACATATTATTTCAAATACAATCTGCTTTCATGTTTAATGTTTGCCAGTTTTGCTGTTTTAATGAAGAGGTTTGATTTTGATTAAGCGGAAACAGAAAAGTACTAGGCCAACTGGGTGAGGCAGACAGAGCAGGGCAGGTCACCTAAGCTTCGGGGACTGGCTTCTGGTGGGTGAATACGCTCTGCTCGGGCAGAAACTGCAACATTGGGAGCAGATATGCATGAAATAGCAATTTTTATTCTTTCATCCAGATAGCAAGCTTCAAAAGGCAGGGGTCAGGTCTTACTCTTTAAAAGGAGAGAGAAAGAGAAGTATGGGGGGGAGGGGGGGGAGAATAAGAGCGAGAGGGAACAAATGACGGAGTAACTTTTCTTCAGGGGCAGATCCAGTATCTACAAGAGGCACCTAGGTGTTCAACACTCAATTATTTCAGGAGTACCCATGGAGCATCATTCCAGACTGATCCTCAAAATGGGTTTTCTTGGAAAAACTTTTACATAATACATTTTTAAATACTATATTTTTCTTTAAATAACATATTTTAAAATAATATCTTTTCATATTTGAAAAGTTTTAAACAAAATTTTAAATAATATATTTTTTCTGATTATAAAAAGTCATAATGCATATTGTTACTTAACCAAGGGTGGTTAAATAATTTAAGGTCTTCTTATAAAAGATTAGTAATTGAAAAAATAAAGGTATAAATGTGGATATAAAAATTAGATTTACTCGTCACCCAGAGATATCTAGTAGTAACACTTTAATGTATTTTCTTGTTGGCTTTTTTCCTGTCCAGGTATATTCCAGCCTCCTTCCCTTACAGGGTGGCCCTATGCCAGCCGTATCCCCTGCAATTTAGATGCAAACATTACATACAAATTAATTTACTTAAAGACATCCTACAAATATTCTTCCGTTCTCCCCTTCTAGGGAACATATATATTATTTCTATTTTTTATTCTTATAAGTAACACTGCAGTAAATAACCTTGTACGTATATTTTTGACCAAATGGTATATATATGCCATTTTACTCATTTATAAAATGAAGATTAAAATAATAAAGTCATTAGGAAGATTAAATGAGATAATACTTATAAATCGCTTAAATATAGTGCTTGGTGCACAACAGGTACTCAGTAAATACTTAATTTTATTATTTTTTAAACCTTTTAAAGGCTTACCACATATACCCACACAACTTTCGATTTACCACTCTAGCTTATTTCACTGCACTCCCATGGAGTCCAACTGCCTAAAACTTTTCCATTTAGCTGGCCATCTCAAGAAAACTATTAATGTATAAGATTCAAAATGAAAGAATCAGTTGAGAGTGAAGGCCATTTGGAAAGCTAATAGGGAACCAAGAATTTCATTACAGTACTAACCCACCACTCTAGTCCTATTAATACAAAACTGTAACGGCTGCAGTCAGGCGGGGTGTGGCCCTGATCGACTGGAGACACCGCTTCCTTCTATGGCTCTGACCTTAGTCACACATTTTTAGTACCAACACCTTACAAACAGGCTGGCTGCATGGGGTTTGTGGTTAAAAGGGCCACCCCTCCCTTACCCTGACTGCACTGCTTTTCTACCTTCCCTATCTCGTGTTCTGAGCAGCACAGTCTTTGTTTTATGTTCAAACTCCGTTTAGTGCTGACTCCATCAGCTTCCACCTTTTCCAGTTAACACTATGTTCCTTACTGTGGTCTTTTCTCCCACCTCACTGTGGTTAAAACTTGTAAGCTGCAAAATTAGCTGTGTATACGGGAGAAGAAGTTGTGGCAGGGACCCTTTTTAGACACTGTTAAAATTCCTTTGATCTTAATTAAATCAGATTTATATTATTAATGGATTTGTATTGTAAATGTTGTCAATGCATAGTTAGAACACAATAATGCCTCTTCTAAGTCTCAGTTTTTCTGACCCTGTACCATTTGTTGGGAATGTTCACTTTTTAAATATTTTTTTTTAGAGATTTTAGAGAGAGAGGAAGGGGGAGAGAAGAGAGAGAGAGAGAAACATCAACCTGTTGTTCCACTTACTTATGCATTCACTGGTTGCTTCTTGTAAGTGTCCTGTCTGGGGATCAAATCCACAGCCTTGGCATATCGGGGACAATGCTCTAACCAACTGAGCTACCAGGCCAGAGCTGAGAATATTCACTTTTTAAATGTCAGAAAATAGAGTGATTATTTTTAATCTACACAAGACTCCTTCCTCATTGCCAATAGAAAACCCAAGTCCTAAAGCTGTCAGTGCTGTTGGAAAGAACAAGGGAAGTTAAACAAGTTAAGGTCTTCCTAGCAACAGCTCACGTTTGTTCAGCACACACTACTAAAGTGCTGTACCTAATTTTATTCTCACATCATTCCATGAGGTAGCCTTTTTTGTACTTATAGGCAGGGTAAGAACTGCCCGGGAAATGGTAATACCAGGACTCACACCAAGGCAGTGTGGGCTCTTAGCCACTAGGATGTCTATCGACCCAACAATATGTGTATCTTAATGCACATACGTCATATAATCCTTCACATTTACTGTAGATGAGAATTTCTGGCGACTGATGTTCTCAGGTGACTATGCTGGCAGGCCTTGCTTTAGGAAAAGTACAGGTGCAGAGAACAGACACCAGAGAAGTGCAGAGGTATAAAAAAGTATGTCACACATGCTGCTTGGAAGTGACCCAAACCCTCCTCCAAAGCTGGGGTTTCCCACCTGGTCCAATCAGCACAAGCAGTGCCCTCCCACCTATGCCCAACCATTCATCCATCAAGCAGCTGACTCAGTGTCAAGTACAGAGGGAGCCCTGGCAGCACTGTGGTGAGAGAACTGGGTCCTTGCCCTTGAGTAGGTTGTCACAGTCTTATTTCTTCCTAGTGAGTGACGAGTGTACCTGATCCAAGTCATTCCGCAGAGCAATCTTGCTGGTTACTAGTTCATGGGCAAGGTCATCATTCTCTTGTTCCAACCTCATGCTGGCCTCCTGTAATCTCCGGTTCTCCCTCTGCAGAAAAAGAACAACAGCCAGAGGTGGGTATTAGTGCCTGGCTATACTAGCAGCCAACAGATGGGGCTGGTGAGGAAAAACAAGCAGCAGCAACTAGTGAACTTGAAGGTGTAGAGAAGGTGCAGTGGCACAGGAAGGCGGGACAGCTGTCTGGGAAACAACAGTGAGTTAAGCGAGCGGTGCAGAGGCGGCACTCTACCCAGTGGAACCTACCAGGTCCCTAAAGCCCCAGGCAGTACTTCATTATAAAAAAACGTGCCACAAAAAAGCAAAATTTCCACACACACCCCCAATCCCGTGAGGTTTCCACATAGACCTAGAATGCACACACAGGCAATTCTTTGTTTAAAACATGCACAATAACCACACCCTGACCCCAAGGGAAACCATAAGACACTGTAGGGCTGGAATAGGGTAAACTGCTAGAAAGGGCTTCAAATTGTTTTTCCAATATAAGGGGTCAGGATGCATGGGTTCATGGCTTTGCTATCAACTGACACTTTCATTCTTTGGGTAAAAATATGTTTACTTTTCTGAACACCAATTTTTGTGTTAGTTAAGAGCAATAGTCCTTACGTTTGCTTTGGTTTTTTGTTGTTGTTGTTTTTAATTTTAGATTAGAAGATTCTGGGTAAAATGCATTACGGAACTCCCAGGGAAAAGTCTGAAACAAAGTTATATGATGAGAGAACCAAGTCACATTGTTAGGAAGCAAGGTATCCCCTTACCTAGCCATTATGAATTGTGTATACATTCCCATCAGAATAGCAATTTAGTGTCTTCCATTCCAAAGTATCAAAAGTGCTTTCTCTGCAACTGTTGGCAATTACAGGAGACTCCAGAGAGCTGACAGGAAAGACTTCCATGTGACAACACCTTCCTCTTTTTCAGATTTATACTCCTAACTGTCATTTGCAAGAGTGGCAAAAACTCAGACAAAGCAGCGTTGCACAACCAGAAGACAAATCTGTGTCCCAGAGGAGATTGCATCATAGCATACTGTGTGTGTGAGAGAGAGAATGATTGTGTGTGTACGTGAGAGTGTGTGTGTATGAGCATGAATGTGCGTGTATGTGTGGTGAATTTTGCTCCTATAGAACAACCTGGGTTTGTTATATAGAAAGAGGAAAACCTAATTTCTTTTTTCTTTGTGTTTTTCAAAGAAGGGCTAAGAAACATGGTACGGGCAAAGCCTGAGACTTTCATGGAGGCAGTGGGTCCAAATACAGACCAGCAGAGAGCTAAAGGACAAACCTGTTCTTGACTATAACCAGCCAACAGGGTTCTTCTCTGTCTTCTCTTCTGGAGAAGCTAGACTGGGGTAATTGGGAAATGCTAAACATTTTTGAAAAAGATACCTACTGAAAAAGGTTTGAAAATCCCAAATCACTTACATACTTCTAACTAAATTCATGATGGGTTTCCATGCAGTATTAAATAGAAGTGAAAAGTGTCTAAAAACAGAAGAAATGCTTATGCGATCTTGAAGAAAAAGAGCTAAGTAACTAGAAAATCCCACTTTTATAACAGCATAAATAATAGATACTAACTGTGGGTAGTGGGTTATTTTTATTGTTGTCTTTGTGATATTTAAAGGCTTCTAAGTTTTATACAATGGGTATGTAACACATGTATTTTAAAAGTTTAAAAAGTTGTTTAAAAAAATAAAAAGCAATTTAGAACTTCAATTTCACTGGAAATGATAAAATGTCAAAAGAAGAAATTTTTTTGAGTCCACTCTTGCTCGATGCTCATATTCTACGTGAAACCACCCTGGATCTTCCTCTGTGGCTGAGATACAATGTAACCCTCAAAAGTGCTGCCTCACCAGAAGCCCTTTGCCAAAGTATTCCTAAAAGGCAGGGTGCATATTTATAGGGGCAAGTTGTGCTCCTGAAATTCTGCCAGTCCCCGCTATCTACAGGCGCTGTCCCTCCCAGAGGCATAACAGCACGGAGTCGAAAGCAATGGAAGGGTCAAGGCACACACAGCGGAGTCCTTCAGTCTTCGGGGAAGGGATCCAAACTCCAGCAAGGGCTGGGGAGCCCATCTTTCATTCCAATAAATCTATTGCCTCTATTTGTGGAAACAACTTACATACTCGTCAAAAACTCAGATTTTAAAAAACGTTCAGGGACTTTTCTCATAAATGCCCTCCCTGCCAGGAACAGGCAGTGGTACCGGCAGTGCCCTCACCACGCATTTCACAATCGGGAAAGACATTTCCTCACTTATTACAAACCCCTTCCAACGAGACCCTGTAGGGGCGGCAGTACCCATTCCTGAGTTAAGTGTCCTGTTTCTACTGAAACTGTACTTGCAGGACTCCGAGGTGCAAAAAGCTGCCCGTTACATACATCTCATTCATTTGGCACAAGAGAAAATGTTGCAGCTACCAGTTTTTCAGGTTACATGACACATGCTTAGAATCGATTTAAAAATAACCTCCAGATAAGTCGCAGGATGCTAGTGGAAAAGGGCTTTGTCCAAAGTATTTAAAAAGCACAGGTAGCTGCCTTCCCTGTGGATCAGAGATGCGTCTGATGGGTTATATTACATAAGAGAGGGATGTGAGCTCAGCTGAAATGACTGGTAACTTCCTATCTAAGGGCCTGGTAACTGGAGCCCATCCTATGCACACACGGCTAAGGGAGGGGGCTGGGGAGAAGTTAGGAGTCTGAGGGCCCCGAGGAAGCACCATGGCCTAGGGCACCCCGGCTTTTGCTTTAGCAGGAAGCTTCAGTCCAGTGCCTGCAAAGCAAGCGGCCGAGCGGGCGTGTGGCCTCCGGCTCTGCACTCACACTCGCGGACGTGGGGGAAGCAAGCCAGGGGCAAACATGCAGCACCCTCCTCCGCGGGCGGGGGGGGGGCACCCCACGGCCTCCCGCGGGCCCGCCCCGCTCTCCACGGGTCAAGGCGAGGCTGCAGCGCTCGGCCGTCTTTTCCAGCCTTTCCCGAGGCGCCAAAACTCCCTCTGGAGCTGACGACTGAAGAGCAATTTTGCCACTGCACCAGAGCGGACAGGAAAGCGCCGTCTCGACGGCTCGGGAAAGGCAGGAACCTCGCTTGGCCCGTGGAAACAGCGGCGAGGGCGGCCCACCCGAGGGCCGGAACCGCCGCTCACCTCCGCCGGTGTGGAGACGCGCGCCGC